ATAAATTGTGCCGAATTCAGCCAACGTCCAATATTTGCGTATTATATTATCACTGCAAGGATGTTACCCTACGAAAAACTGTTTCCAGGCCTTACCATTGTACTGTGAAAAATAATGAATACTTATCAATGTCACATGTGGTTTTACCTATGTTTAAAAATAGTTCAGGGTTGTACGCAATAAAAATAGATTCATGATTTAGAGCCTGTTCAGGATTTACACGAACGAAAAATGCACATAATTTAAGCATGGTACAAAAATTGTCCAGTCCAAAAAGGCTTTTTTTTCTTTTTCCCAGGAGGTCGTATTTAAGGGTTTTAAAGAGTGAATAAAACGAATCCGAGACTTTTGGCGAGAAAAGTTTTTAAAATCATACAGAAACATATAGGTACCAGAGCAGAAAGTTGTACCGTAACGAAAAGGTCTTTTTTCCAGATTCCACCAAACCGAGGAGTGTTTTGTTGCTCGTTCCTACCATCCCACACGTGGTTTGTTAAAAATATTTCAATATTTACAGACTCACTAACAATACCCTCTCACGCTAAGAAAATGATTACCTAATCTACAGTTGACAGGGCTCAGAGTACAGGTGCACGACAGAGGTCCTGCCCCTACAACTAAATAAAAAGTCGGTAAGATAGTCATAATCCTACTGACTAACTTCCATTCGTGCTAATAAATACATTCATACAGTATGTACAGGATTTCATTTATCCATTAGACTAATTTCCTTTTGACGGGCTTGTGGAGTACTCGATATTCCTCGACATCCACGTCCATTTACACAAAACATTCACGCTAATAAATACATTCATAGTAAAGAGGTCGCAGCATCTCGGTAGAAAACCTTGATTAGATGATAGGTCTTCTTTAATAACTCCCTAAATACACCGATGGACACATTTAACGTAACAGTCAATTTATTTAGTTTAAAATTAAATCCATCATGTTTCTACGTTAGTTGCAGGTCGGAGCTGTCGTGCTCAAAATAAACAGTAAATAATGATTTGTTTACTTTTGTACTGATTTTGCACAAAAAATAGCATTATGCCCTCCCATTCTGTTACGCCTAAAGAACGCTTTTAGTTAATATTTTTCCTTCGTTGATTTCATTTCATATTATTCTTATTCTCAACATTTTTCAGTGGTAACAGTCAGGCATTTGAATGAGTATGACAGTATCAGGGTCATAATATTATGAGAGGAAGGATACAACCAGCGAGAAGTCGCCAGGAGACTGAGTGTAAATCAGTCAAGAATAGGAAGGGTACTTCGGCAAATTAATAGAAATGATAAATGATGGAGTGAGTTTGGTGTTCAATCCTTTTTAAAAAGATAGTTCCTACTCACAGTAAGTTGTTTTGCAACGATCCGGATTTCGAGCCCTTTAGGTTGAAGGACTTCTATAACCACGTCTCTCGACATGAATTGCAAAAGTGAACCCGCTGATACCCTCGCCAACGCGACGTTCCAATTAGCAGTTGGTTTTTTAATGGCGTTCAATTTGTACGTGCGAAAAGCGGGAATTATAACACACAAACTGATTATGTGTTATAATTCTCCCTTTTCCCACGTTCAAATTGAGCGCCATTAAAAAAACCAGATCTCATTGGAACGTCGCGTTGGCGAGGGTATCAGTGGGTTCACTTTTGCAATTCATGTCGAGAGACGTGGTTGTAGAAGTCCTTCAACCTGATGATGAGCTAAAGGGCTCGAAATCCGGATCGTTGCAAAACAACTTACTGTGAGTAGGAACTATCGTTTGAAAAAGGGTACTTCGGCGCCTCAGAGACATAGGTCTTCACACTAGAAGGCCAGGACAGAGTCAATCTGTTCTTGGACGAGAAACAGAGTACATTTATCCGCCATCAGGTTCTACAAAACCGCAGCATTAAGGGAAATGAGTTAAGGGATGTGATAAGACAAATCCAAAATGTTTTTAAAAAGATAGTTCCTAGTCACAGTACGTTGTTTTCAACGTTCCCGATTCGAGCCTACAGCTCATCATCAGGTTGAAGGAGCTCTACAACCACGTCTCTCGACATGAATTGCAAGACTGAACCCCCGTCCGACGGCCATCGCGACGTTCCAATGAGAACCTGGTTTTTATTGCCGCTCAATTATCACATGCGAAAAGCGGAAATTATAAAACAATTAAATATTATATTAATACATACTATACGAAATTAATTATAAGTTAGTGTATAATTTTTTTAATTAATTTATTTTTTAATATTTTTGTTTATTTATTTTATTTATTTTGTAATTTAATTTTTTTAAATTAATTAATTTATTTATTTTTATTAATTAATAAAAGATAAAAAATTAAAATGACACATTCATAATAGGTCACTAAATTATCGATAATACTAATAAAAATAAAAATTTAATTAATTAATTTGATTATTTTGTACGTCTAATATCATTTATGTACATATTTAAAATAGGAGGTCGATCAATATCCACCATATTATTAATACATTTATCTCCATAATTTATCTCCATTATTTAAGGTCTGGAAGGCATTTCCTTGAACGCCCGCTCCGAATTGGTTGTTGTGTGAGAACGCCTCGCCTGAATGTCGTCACGATCGTCTACCTTGTCGAAACTGCTCGTGTTTATGCAGCCGAAGGTTATACAATCTGCAGAAACCTACAAAGCTCCATAAGTTGCACCGAAATCATCATCAATGCCATCAGTTTCTGTGGCAATTCTGTCTTGAGAAAACATAACGTTGGTGGACTTGAAAGTCGAAGATCGGTGATGTACATCACAAAACGTCGGTCGAAAATGTTAAGCTGTCTTTATCAATTGCTCCTATTATATTCAGAGAACTGCACAAAAAGTATCACCGGACAAACTCTCATTCAACCCAGGGACTTAGATGCAGCGACTTCAATATCGCCCACGACAAGCTATGAAGAATGAATTAGGTCTCAACTAAGTGTCCACAGAACTCGGGCCCACTATCGATTGTATATTCACCAGATATAGCGATGTTGATATTATACCTCGTCTCTTACTATTCATGCCAGAGGCTAATGTTAAACAAAATCGACGACAATTATCAGTCGAAATAAATGTATCATGCAGTGACTGTCTTATGATAAAATAAAATTGGGGGCGCAGTTAATATTTCGTGTTCATTTCAATCCATTAAGCTGAAAACGACTAGCTGACAACATTTACGATAAACCGACAGCCATGCGACCCGACCCAGCCCCGTCCGATTTTTTTTTTTTTTTTTAATTTATTTTTTGCCTTTTTTTTAATTTAGTTGTAAATTTGTATATAGTTAATCGCATTTAATTCGATCCTGAATATTATTTGCTATCCTTAGTAAAAAACAAATTGTCTAATATACAAAAACTCAGCAATAAATAGACAATTGAAGCTGAAAAACATATTTTAAAAAATTGTCTAAATTACGTAAAATTGTTTCAAGTTTAGTGGCCGGGATTTTTGGTGGCCTTGAGACGGGCTTTAGTGTGGTGGAGACGATGATCGGAGTCCGTGGACAGATCTGGAGGAGCCAGATGTTGATGCAGCGGGAGTCGGTAGCGAGCGAAGAGTCTTGTGCAGCAGACATATAGATGACCCTAGTGACGCCGACTTGCTTTTTTTTGTAAAAGTTAGTACCTCGTCAAGTGGGAAGAAACTGCTGCGAGCTCACTGACTGCAGCGTGAAAGAAGAGACAATTGCTGAAGCAGTGGTGACACCTAGTGTTGATATCCATTATTGATATCCAAATCAAAAGCCGCGATATAATGTCCTAGGGCCCATTGGGTACACATGTAATATTTTTTGATCTAATTTAAAAACAAAAAATTGTTGAAGTCGTGAGGATGGGTCAAGAATGAGGTAATTTAGAAAAACACCTTTTCCATTTTTTGGCCGATGTTTCGACCTTTATTCGGGTGAACTTTAAGACATACAGTGTGGTGCTATTCTTGTGGTGTCATATTGGTGTTGTGTGAAATTGTTGTGACGTCGCATGCAGAGATGGATTGCTCGATGTGTCCCACCTAATTTAGGGATACAATTCCTTGGATCCCTACAGAAAGCGCGGAATGCCACCCGAGATAGTGATAAAAAGGAATAACGGTAACGATGCATCGAGGGATAGGGGAAAAGAAAGGGGGGAGAGTGACGGGATGAGAGAGAGAGAGTGAGAAAGAAAAAGAGAGAGTGAGAGAGTAAGAAAAATAAAGAACGAGAGAGGGCGAAAGACAAAGAGAGAAGGAGTAATAGACGGAGAAACTCAGTGTTGAAAATATGTGTACTGTCTTACGGTTTTTAAAAACAGACATTTATGTAATTTGTGTGACAATGTGTGGATGAATGGAATGGACATTAAAATTAGCTTCTAAAAAACCATATAACAGTACACACACTTTTTTCTAAAATCAAAGATCCAACACCAACAGCCTTCAAATCCGATGTGATTTATAAAATTAATTGTATGAACTGTCCAGCTACATGCATTGGAATTACATCGCAATATCTATAAAAAAAAAAAAAAACGGCAAAAACAGCACGTCTATGACTATAAAACACCAAAATCCAATTCCACAACATTGGCTACAAACAACTTTGAAAAACAACAGCAGAATATAATTTCACGTTTCACAACACTCACACAAAACCAATATGACACCACAAGAATAGCACCACACTTTATGTGAGTATGAAATACTTGGTTAAAAATTTATATTTACATCTTAAATTGTATTTTTTCCAATCAACATATGTTTTGTAATTTACCCAGTCCCAGAAGATGACTCGAATAAGTGTCGGAACGCAGCAAAAAAATGAAAAAGGTGTTTTTCTAAACTACCTCATTCTTGACCGCTCCTCACGACTTCAACAAATTATGAAACAACAGGTCACTAAGAAACACACACAAAAAAATCTTGAATACATATTTATTTTTTTATAATATATTTCAATCATTAATTTAAGACACCATAAAAATGAAAATAAAATATAAAATATTTTGATTGAAAAAAGTTATATTTACTACTTATAAAGTGGAATGTAAAAACAATCATTTTAAAGCTGGTGCAAAAACTTCATAATCGTGCACTAAAAAGTGGTATTCTCCCATTAATATGTTGTTTGAAGCGTGTTCTCCATCATAAGAATGTGGAAGATTGGAATAGCTTTCTCTGTTGATGTTGCAATCAGATGATATCAGCAAATCTGCTCCAGCACCAAAAACTGGTCCACAGCTAGGAAGAAAAAACATAGAAATATTCTTTTCAATGAAAACAAAAATGAACATACTCTGGATGATAGCAGACAGCGAATCGAGGTTTAACAATGTCAAACTTTGTCGGAGGGAGGTCTTGGTTGTTGACGAGGGTGAATAAAAAGGCTCGATCAGATGAGGTGTACGAATGTACTTTGTGTACAGTCCCTTTACCCCACGGTATGTCGGACATGCCACCGCAAATTTCACTGTTCTTTCCTTGCACTATGACAAATGTGGGTGCAATGCCATCACAGTGTCGGTGGAATGAATCTGCAGAATATCCGTTGCTCGACGCCCTGTACAACAATCTCCACACCTGTTTTGGCTGGCCGAACCATGAATTCAGCACTCTTTGATAACAACATTTGTCCTAAAAAAAAGATCATTTCATTTAAAAAACCAATCAGAGCTGCGTTGGCTTACTACCTTACCTGGACTAAAATTTGTGATCCTGGAAATAATTTTAAAGAAACCCTGGGCTGTAAACGCTTGTCTTCTGTGCTTTCGCGGAATTTATATGGGAGAGCGGCAAACCTATACCTCTCAAGGGACAGTTCCATAGGAACTGCTCCTGTTGGTTCAACTTCTTCAGCAAAAACTTGGCTATCTAAAGTAGTATAAATTTATTGTTTACAAGTACTGAAAATTGAACTTAATATCAATTTAATACCAATCAGCAGCAGTCTGACATGATTGATCACACCAGATAAATGTTGGCAAACCCGTGCCCTCTCTTCTTCATTCCAGTGTGCTGTCGGTTGAGTCACTCCGGCATGATATTTAGCCCAGCTCAAAACTGCACGCCAAACATCTTCCTCCTCAAGTGCAACCTTGTTTTCAAAGGTCACAAAATAACATTAACAATGATTCAATTTATTAATATTTTGCTGTATATCTTGGCTTTGTTCTGTCAGACTTCAGTTGTTCACTATATTCAGCATGTCGTCTTGCATTATTAAAAGTTATTAATTTATTTTTTGTTGTGTACAATGTAAGTCTCTAATAACCACAGCAAGCTTGATAATAAAACTATTTCTGTAGGGTCATCCCTTTTTGGTTAGATAGAAATTGACCCAAACAAAATAACTATAGTTCATTAACAACAAATCAGACTAAAAAACAGTGATCAAGTCGATAAATGAGCCAAAAAATCTAGGAGGTAAAAACAGGAACCTACATATTCTGCTCTGTATGTATACCATGTTGATGAGACCAATTCTGTGTCATTGCCTGGGCCAATGAAGTCAAACAAATAATAAAACCGAAAGAATTCAGAAAAATTCACAGGCTGTATTCGTTTCACTGGATTAATGATGACCCACAACTTTTATGGAGAACTACTAGGTCTAATATCCTTCATCTTAGTCTCGTGGATTAGAGTTATGGACAGAAAAACAAATAGTGCTTTTGTGCCAACGCCAAATATTCAACAATATATTTGTCTTCTTTACATTCTGCAGAAAGCCATCTTAATTAATTGTATATTCATATAGACATATCACAGATTCTTGACAATTTACATGTATGTAGTCAAAATTTACAGGATCATTCAATGCAAACAATCCAAAAACCTTGTTGAGAAAATAGTATAAAAAAATACATCAAACAATGCAGGAAGAGATCCGAATCCTAAAGAATTCCTGACAGGACGTGACAGACTGAATAAATAGTCTCTTGAGAAATATAGGCATCAGCCAACACAGTACAAGAGGACTCCGCATTTGCTATGCTGACAGTTCTTGGTTTGAACCCCAGGGTGGCACATAGAACTATTTGAAATTAAAAATAATTATAATTAGAAAAATCATTGTAAAGTGGATCTGACCCCTCACTCTCAACACCCAATGGTTGTAGTACATTAAGGCCTCTTTCAGACGAGGTGACTACTTGAACGGACGGGTGTCAAGGAGTGTAACATGGTAGCAATGTTTGGGAATCCCCCAACCCTTTCACACACAGTCAACTCGTTCGCCCAGGCGGGTGGCCAGCATGCACAAGTGTCACTCATGTTCTCAACCCCACTGATTGACTCAACTCAAAAGAAACTGCTCTGCATTCGTCCTTCACACCAGTCGCCTAGTTGAGCCAACTGAGTTCACCATGGAAAACATTGCAAGTTTCAATGTGGAGCAGTCACTGAAGAAATTCGTATTAATCCTGTGATATGGTTGGTGTAAGGAGTTTAGCGATAAAATTAAAAGAAGCGCAGCTTGGAGGGAAATAGCATAACAGTATTTGAAAGAAAGCGCCCGTTTCCCAATTTCATATCAATGGATAAGGATTTTTCTTTACTGAGTTTCCTCCTCTTTTCCTTCTCTTTTTGCAGAAGAGGAAGCACAAGAAGTGCTCCTGCTTCCTTGGGTTCAAACATCAATGACTTCCTGTTGGGAAGAGAGGTTGATTCCACAAGTTGCCTGGTGTGAAACCAGCAAAGAAAAAAATCTTCACACAGCAGTAAACTAGTTCAGTGTCAACCGGGCAACTTAGTCGAATCAACCAAACTACCTCATCTGAAAGAACGCCTTCCGTTAAGTTGTCCAGGTCAAGATTTGGGAAAGAAATTTTTTCTTATAATTTTTCATAGAAGACAGGCGGTTACCACTCAATATTTGTCGGCCTATAGCTAACATAAATATACTATACTTTACCTTAATGCCATGTTTCACTTCTGAAGCATTATCCTATGGGAGTTTTTATAAACGAGGTAGTCTTTTATTTTCAGGCTGCCTATTTTATTGAAAACCATGTTTGATTCCAACGTTAATTTTTAGAAATGTTAATGAATGATTATTTTGAAATTGTGTGATATAGGTTTAGAAAAACATTTTCTTTATTGTGCCGTTTCTAAAATGCATAATTCTAAACGCATTAACACAATAACAAATCACTTACAACATTTCACTACAAATCAACATTACACATCTCAGCAAACACAGTAAATCAAAAAAATTCTCAAAAAATATCATACTAACACTCTCAACTCAACACACAAGTGACACATCTACACAGAAAACACACTTGTGAAAGTGAGTACAAATATTTTGATTAAACCTAAAATTTCTATACTGTGTACATCATTGTATAAATTCATAGTCGTATCTTATATGTATTTGTATAATTTAAACATGTTTATAAATCCCAGGCCCTGAAGATGAACTCAATAAAGATTGAACACGATAAACAAAAGTTTTTCTAAATCTACATCACACCAGACTGCACCTCACCATCTTTAAATAATCAATAATTTTTAGAATTTAAAATGTCGAATCTGCTGGCAGAATTTTAGTTAGTTAGTGCGTCAAGCAGACCCGGTGATCAACATTCTTTTTTCAAATGTAATGCCCTAATTTTTCATACATTTTGAAAAATATTTCTATAAAAAAATATCATACCAGAATCTAAAAAATTCATCGGTTTGTTCCGGAGGTATTGTCTTCTTCAATAATTGTTAGTTAAATTTATCGTGTAGCTGATTTTTTCTATTTAATGTTAGATTTTAAGAAACTATCACATGCTGAGCCGTGCCACTGTTGCAGCTGGGTCAGTCTACACTCATTCAACAGCCAACAAGCAACACAGTGCCGGTTCAACATGTCAGATCAATAGTGAACGAACTACAGCTTCATTATTCCGCAGACCTGAGAAAGGGTTTTGCAGAAAGGTTGCAACACTGTCTATAGACATGGTGTCGCTCAGATGTAGTACTCACCGAGTCAGATGAGATGAGCTTAATCAAAGCCTCTTTCGGTAAATTAAGAAATGACTTGGACTTCACACATTCCGAGGCGTTTTCTCCAATGTAGCTGACACATTTTTCGATGAAAGTTTTCGTACATTTACCACCTAGAAAATATCAGGAACAGTAATAGAAAAAGTAATACATAAAAAAAGAAAATTATATTTATATAAAGTCCAATATACAAAAGGCTGCAGAATTTTGAATAAAAAAAATAGTTAAAAAGTCTTTATTGGTGGTTTAGCCTGATGATGAGTCCATGGCGGTAGGGTTGACGTTTTGGATGAGTGTGATGTTGTCCCCTTTCATCATGATGCGTCCGAGTGTCCGCCTTGTTTTCGACTTGACATGGTATTCTTCGGCGTCGTCCAAGACGAGGTTCATGTACTCGTCGAAGCCGACGATGTGACCCTCGATCCTGAGGTTGATGTTTTCGTAGAGCCAGACGCAGACGCGCGACCTGTTCTGCAGGTAACGGAATATGAGGTTGATCGGCTGGACCATCACCTTCTGCACTTTCTGCGGCCCTTTGTACGACATTTCGCCCGTTATGATAACGCGGAGGAGATAAAAGCACAAACGTAAGTCGAACGATGAAAAAGCCGGGTTTCGTTTGTTTGGGAACGGCAATCTTGTAGAACCTCGTGCCGCCCACGCTTGCCAACGGACAAAAAATATCCCTTTTATTTTCTAATTAATTCTGCAGCCTAATGTTTGACTACCAACAAATATACAACAAAAATTAAATATTCATATTAAAATAAGTAAATTTATCCAATTTATGAAATAAACAAGTTTCATGAAACCAATTCAACATTTGGCCCCTCTCCTTAGTTTGTATTTTAAAAAACATGCTGGATTGATTGAATTGATCCATTTTCTTCAGTTTGTTGAAAAAGGAAATTCGTAAAACACAATTATAAACTAACAAAATATATTATCAAACAAACGGCATTTTCACAACATCCTATAAAGTCTCAACAACTACTACAAAGGATAAGAAGAATTCAGGAGGACATCAGATATAATGATATGGTATGTAAATGGCTTCGAACAAATCATCATCATGTATCACCGGATCATGTATTTTTGTAAAAACCCGAAACATCTTGGTGGCGGCTATTGCCATCGGAGTTCCCTACGAAACACATCGAGACGCCGTTATTTACGAGAAACTGTCCTTCCATAAAAGGCCCGGTTCGGTTCGCCCTAGGGTAATAGAACCACAGAATGACCGTGTTTTGACTTTGAGAATTTTGCGAAACCGGCACCTTATTTGTTGTTCAAGCGATTCATCATCTCCACGGTCGCTCGCTATGTGGAAGAAATTTTGGAACATCTGCGTTGCCTATCCTCGATGAAATCAGCGACAATCCTATTCTAATCCACGATAATGCTCCTCCAGATGTCGCTCGCATAGTACAAACGTACATTCTACAGCATAACATCAAGATCTTAGCCTTACCAGCCCTTTCTCCAGACTTGGACCCCATCAAACATTTATTAGATAACCTCAAAAGACGAATAAGAGCACGTCCATTACTTCCTGATACACTCCACGATTTTGATAGGTCTCTTCGTAAAGAATGGGCTAAGCTACAGCAAAGAGATGTAATTAAGGCAAGGGGAGGAAATACTCGGTATTGAAATGTTAATTAAAAATCTAAAACAAATTGTATCTGTCCGTCTTTTTTTAAATTACTTTTTATTATTCATTTTCCTTATCAATTTTTTAGACAAAGACACAATTATTAAACGTTATATATACGTAATATATACAATATATACGTTATATAAAAATATATACAAATCAAGTTATATTACAAGTGGGTGGAATTTTTTACCTCAGAGTAAATATATATATAAATTNATCCCAGCCTTTGGACTATCCTTCTGTATATAATTCTACCCATCATATTAACTGTAATCACTATTATTTTGTATAGATATAAGAAAAGTATGTTAGCCTTAAGTAACCACAGGTGTGGTTCATTGGAAATGTAAAATAATAACTTAGAATAATTAGTTTAAATTTTTATAATTGTCATTTTTTTTCTTTTTTCACGAGCTTCCAGGGAAGCTCTCTCTAAAGGGGGAGGAGTTATATACGAGTATAAACATTGTGTTAAATAAATAATGTGATGACAATGCTAGGATGCAGGTGTTGCTCCTAGAATTGTCATCAGCACTCTCTCCCACTCTAGAAATTTTATAAGGATTTTCATTTTTAACAAACGTTAGTCTTAAGCCAGATTTCCAGAAAGCATATCGACGAGATTTGATTTAGATTCATAAAGTTCTGAATGTATATCAGTAACTTATTTGTAATTTCTTTGAATAAAAGTTTTTTAAAAACACGTTCGTCCAAAGAAATTATTTAACTTATATATATATTGTATAAATTTAAAAAACAGAACACGTCTATAAAAATGTGCGGTATAATTTGATAACATACCTGAAACCTGGTTTTCTAAAGCAGCCAGAAAAGTGCAGGCGTTCAAAGTGGAAAGAGTGGATGTAACGTGATCCTCGCAGGCTGCTATTAGTTCTTCGAGGCCCAGATCTTGCGCCATGCTCATAGTATCAAAAACACCGCTGTCCGTGAGTAGAATCTAAAAAAAAAGTAAGAAAAAAAAATATATATAATTAAGAAAAGTATTAAAAAAATACAAAAATCTTTTCTTTACTATTTTCAATGCATAATCAATTAACATGCCTAATGATAAAAATCTACCTTTCCAGTGTAGACGTACTGGAGAAATTGCCTGAAGATCTCAGGCTGGAAGTGGGGAAGTCTTATGGGGCTAGGTGTTCCTGGAGCGGTTTGGACAACGCAGCTACCTGGGATGCGGCAGATCTCGCCGCGTTTCGCCGACTGGAAGCTTTTACATCTAAAACAGAAAAAAAAGTTACTTTTAAAGTATACAACTAAACAGCAAACTGAAGGATATTCGTTATGAAGTATCAGGAAATTGGTTGGATGAGCATTAATGTTCCATTTCCGTATATCTTTAAAATCTTCCTCATCCCCTCACGTCACTAATGATCCCAATAAATGAACTGATACTGAGATAGAGAAAGAAATTTACAAAGAGAGCAAAGAGAGTGTGCAACGAAATAAAGATACAGAGAAAAATAACCAGAGAGAGAGTGAGTGGAGAGGCTGAGTAAGAGAGGGTGAGAAAATGGGCAAAGAAAGAGCGAAAGAGCTTGAGACAAAAAGACAAGAATACAAAGTGGGGTACAAAATTTGAATACAGAGAGAATGAGCCAAGAGAGAGATAGATAGGTTTATAGACATAGATATATAAAGGTCGATAGAGATAGATAGACAGANTATATATATATATATAGAGAGAGAGAGAGAGAGAGAGAGAGAGAGGAGAGATAGAGGAGAGAGAGAGAATGAGAGAGAGAAGAGAAAGAGAAACAGACAGACAGACACAAAAGGTTAGCTAAGAAGTATTTAAAGGAGAAAGATAGAAAGATCATAGGGAGAGGGGAAGGGAAAGAGTGAGAGAGAGAGAGAGCGAAAGAAAAACGAGAGACTGAGTAAGAGAGGGTGAAAAAATACAAAGTGGGCAAAAAAGGGACAGAACGAAAGAGCTTGTGCAAAAAGAGACATGTAATTGAGATACAGCGAGAAGGAGCCAAAGAGATTAAAACAAAAATAAAGAAAGAACCCTTAATTAACATAACTCAACCTGTACGCACTCCTCGATAACAAGAAAGTAATAACCCAAAAATCGTCATGGAAGAAAATAAAATTTCTTGTCGGTTTTTCAAGCCATTAAGCCATTGTCTTGCATATCTTTGATGTTTTGGTACGGCAGATTTATTTCCTCATTGTCAATTTACAAATTATAAGAAAAAGATGAGGGGCAAAACACCATAGTTCAGACGGTTTCTGTCGCTTGACCTAGCTTATAACGTCTGACAACTTATTAACATAGCAAAAAGTTGAAACGCGTCGGGCCAAGAATAACATTTTGTTGTAACAACTTATATAAACACACAAAAAAAACCCCGTAATGTTTACGAATATATATATATATATATATATACATGAAGGAAGAAAACCCTTAGAGCGCGTAAGCTTGTTGCTACGAGAGAAAAAGGAATTGCTAAGGGATAAATATTAAATTCCCTAAGAACTTCGTCGCGATGAATTTTTACAAGCGAAAAAAATGAAAGGGTGAGGACGGCGTTTTGGAACATTTTTCTTAATATCATTCTATAAAAGTCTCAGGGTTGATATGTGGCGTTAGTTAGTGTCAGGGCCGATCTTAAGGAAGAGGGAGTTGCCTGGCAACAGAGTAACGCCAACTCGAAACTCCTCAGTTTTGATACACTCACCTGAGCTCGTAAACCCCCGTTAAACCGGCATCAAACCCCTGGGTTAAACTTCTTTTGCTGTTTACCGGCTGGTTTCCTTGTTCTTCTTTAATTCAGCAATAGTGTTAACCTTTCCCCTGTCGAATTTGGCTTCTATCCGACAAGAAACTTTAGGAAAAGTTACTATGTCTTTTTCGATACAACTATTATCTACTACTTGGAATATTATTGAAATAAGATTGAACATACTTCTTTGTTAGGCCGACGCCAAGTCAAAATTCGGTTGCTGGGAGATCAAGGAAACAAGATCATGGGTAAAATAAAACTGCACAAAAGCGAACGAAAAGTCAGACCATTTTAAAATACTTTTTAAATATTATTTTCAACTAGAAAGCAGTGGATTGTACCAGGATTCGAACCCAGAAAATAAGTGTCAGACGTCCTAGTCTAACCACTAGGCTCCCTAATCGATCAATGCATGACTAAATACGAAATTTCTGTTATATGCCGCCATTATTAGAAATGAAAGTTTACAGCTGCAGAAGCTGTAACAGTTTACTAATCAACTTTGAAGTAGACGAAGCTTTAGGAATGGATTGTTCAAAGGGAGTTGAACCTCTTCAAAAAAGGTGACTCGAAAATTAAAAATCGGTAAGGTTCAGTTTGACGAGATTTTATGACAAAAAAATTAAGTTCCTTATTCCTAAATTGATCGGTAAAACGACACCAGTTGTCAACAGAACTTGGATTCTCTGTCGAAGGTATAACCTACATGACATTGGAAAAATAGAGATTCTGTGATGACAATAAGGAAGACTTCGTAATAAACTAATTGATTAAAAAAAATTATAGACAGGTATTATTATGGTTCACAGATGGATCCAAAATGGAACAAAAGTTAAGATTTAAATTTTGACCTAGAGAAACCTCTAGGACAATGAATTTTCCAAGTGGAGATCAATGCAGTAGAAGAAAGGGAGACATTCGTCACCATTTAACCCTAGTGTCAAAAAAGCTCCGAAATCTAACATTTTTGTACATCTGCTGGCTTCTACTCGATTAAACAGAAATAATTACAGTTAAGTAGTCTAACGGCTTCATCAGTTCCGTCGGCAAGAGTTATCTAGGTGGGTTTTTTTTTTACAAAGGCCAGTGATTGAAGGAGTGCACTGTGATTTGCTAAGGGACTTCCTCCCAGCACAATTAGAAGAAGATTCAACTTGATTTATGGTGAAGGCGTTCGGACAACAATGGCGGTCCTGTCGGTTTCGCTAGTTTCAAGAAGAAATATGTTCTCAGTCCACACATGGCAACTCCGAACCTAAATTTTTCTCTTAACTATGTATACTTTTCTTTCCAAAAGAAAGATGGTTTCAAATTATTTATGGTTTCCTTTTAATTGTATAATTTGTGATATCTCATACCAAAATGTTAGGGAATTTTATAGATTGAATATTAAGCCAGTTGGCAATACTGTCGTGTTTAGGAATATTTATTACATTCACTAATTTCGTGGTCCGCTTGACCAATAAATATACTACAATTAATTAAGGTTTTTAGTTGAGATAAAAAAGTCAATGGCACGAGCGGGATTGGAACGCTCGATCTTCGGCTGGTACGCCGCTGCTCTAGCACTTGAGCTATCGTGACTTCGATCCACTCGGACACTACTTTCGATCTCAACCCCACCTTTTGAATTTTCCCTCCTTTTTGCCATTTTTCAAATGTCGTGTAATCGGATTGGAGATAGCGGCGTATCTAGCCGAAGATCGTGGGTTCGAATCCCGCCCGTACCATTGACTTTTTTATCTCAACTAAAAACCTTAATTAATTGTAATATATGGTCAAGCGGACCACGAAATTAGTGAATTTAATGATTTAAAATGCAGTATACTTCACTAAAGCTCTCCTTGGCCATTTCATTTGTCGTCGAAAATCCAATCCGATTACACGACTTTTGAAAAATGGCAAAAAGGAGGGAGAATTCAAATGGTGGGGTTGAGATGGGAAGTTAGTGTCCGAGTGAATCGAGGTCACGATAGCTCAAGTGGTAGAGCAGCGGCGTATCAAGCCGGAGATCGTGGGTTCAAATCCCGCTCGTGACACTGACTTTTTAATTAATTAATTGTAATATATTAATTAATTGGCCAAGCGGACCACGAAATTTGTGAATTTTGTGATAATTAATTTATTTTAGGATGGCTTCAAATTATTTATGATTTCCTTTTAATTGTATAATTTGTAATATTTAATACCAAAATGTTAGGGAATTTTATAGATTGAATATTGAGCCAGTTGGCAATACTGTCGCGTTTAGGAATATTTATTACATTCACTAATTTCGTGGTCCGCTTGACCAATTAATATATTACAATTAATTAAGGTTTTAGTTGAGATATAAAAGTCAGTGTCACGAGCGCGATTGGAACCCACGAACTTGAGATACGCCGCTGATCTACCACTTGAACTATCGTGCCCTCGATCCACTCGGACACTAACTTCCCATCTGAACCGCACCATTTGAATTTTCCCTCCTTTCCATTTTTCAAATGTCGTGTAATCGGATTGGAGATAGCGGCGTATCTAGCCGAAGATTTCGAATCCCCCTCGTGCCATTGACTTTTTTATCTCAACTAAAAACCTTAAATAATTGTAATATTTATTACCTACGTTAATCGAAGGTGGGTTCTACCGGCTCTCCGTTATCCACACATGTACTGTTCATATAGTACAACGATTTTTTCAAGTTAGTAATTAAGAAAAATTTTAAAAATTGTATACTTGAAAATTTACTTGTGTTAATTTGTTAATACAGAGTCCTGATGAAGGCGATATATTCTGCCGAAAGCTCGACAGGAAAATAAATGTTGTTCCTGTCTTCCTGGCCTCATCCCCAATCTACCTTTTGGAAAGAAAAATATTTAAACTGAGAAGGCTGATCAATCACCAAAGAAAATATTAACTATGTATATTTTTCTATTCTTTATTGATTTAAATATGATTCAATTGATTTTTTTCCTCCGGGAGCACATGATTAAAGGCTTCGAGGAACGTGACAGGCCCAATGATTAATAGTATTAACTAGATTAAAAGGCCGTCTTATAGGATTTGCAAGTAGTTAAGAGAACACGTTTGCTCAAGCACTCTTCTATCTTTGGTATGATTTAAGGGCTAAAGTTGTGCGCGTGGATCTCCACGAGGATCTCCGACTCCGGCTAATCGCTGGTTTTAAGACACTACGAGCCGGATAATTCACGCAAACTGAGATTATCCCCCGAACACGATCTGGAGCATGTCCCGCATTAATGAACAACTTTAACGGGGATTTTGAAGTCGAGCAGGAATTGATTTAATAGCAGGTGCCAAGAGGAATTACCTAAAGTGAATCGGTTTGACCTAGTTGATTTTTTTATTAGAACAGTTCCAAATGATATATATTTTCTTACCATAAAAAACAGTTCTCGTGATCATCTAGTTATAAGTGCACAAGATAATTATAAATATAAATTACGATTAATTTGTCTAAATTTTCTTACTAATGAATAAGAAAATAAAC